AAATCTATGGTGATTCTTTATTCCCAAACCTCCCTCAAGAGAACATTTTACAGAGTTGCACCATGTAGTCTCACAACTGGCATTTGCAGCGTCACATAATTTCTCCCTTTGGTTGACTCCCTGATCAGGATTTTCTAGTGTCCATACCGAATTATTTATTTTCCTCCTGGGAATTCTGCTAACATAGATTTGTTCTTTCTGAAAAAAAAAAGGTAGATTCTGGAGAGAATATGCTCATCTCCCAACAGCACAGAGGGCATGTTTGTTTCCCTGTGCTCTATATAGACCGTCAGCAACAACACAGCTAGCCCTGCATCACCAAATACTCCAACATTCTCCCTTGCTATCCCTGAGGGAAGCATCATGTTTTCTGTATACCAACATCATCATGCTACAGAAGGACAATTCTAATTTTCTCAGGTTCATTGCACTAAAATATCACAAAAAAAAAGAAAACCCAAACACTTCTGTGTTCTTGCCATGAGACAACAAGAAGAGGGTCAGAAGACATAGGCCTACTGACAAAGCAGTGTGGATGTGTAATGTGTCTGGTCTTCTTTCAAGGGGGTTTGCCTGCAGCATCAGAGCAAGCCTTATTCTTCACCAACACTAGCTTAACCTTGGATTGTTCTCTGGGATGGGTGTGTTCAGAGGTACGGAAATAATGAGTAGTCATAATCAGAAAGTGTAGAAATAAACTGAAGAAGTGTGCATACGTCTTTAAGTACAACTGTCTCTCTGAACACACACAAAAGCAAAAATAGGAGGAGAAATCCTGCTAAAGAAAATCATGGCTCTATGTTCGTTCCTTCCTCTTTTACAGTCATAGACTCAAAGAATGGTTTGGGTTGGAAAGGACCTTAAAGATCATTTAGTTCCAATCTCTTGCCATGGGCAGAGACACCTTTCACTAGATCAGGTTGCTCAAAGCCCCCTCCAACCTGGCCTTGAACACTGCCAGGGATGGGGCAGCCACAGCTGCTCTGGGCACCTTGTGCCAGCTCCTCAACACTCTCACAGTAAAGAACTCTTTCCTAGAATCTAACCTAAATCTAACCTCTTGCAGTCTAAAGCCACTCACAGTCATGGCCTTGTACAAGGTCCCTCTCCAGCATTCTTGTAGGCCTCTTTTAGGTACTGGAAGCTGCTCTAAGATCTCCCTTGACCTCTCTCTTCTTCAGGCTGAACAACCCCCAACTCTCCCAGACTGGTTGCGTAGGAGAGGTGCTCCAACCCTCTGATCATCTTCCTGGACCTCCTCTGGACTTACTTTAACAGGTCCATGTCCTTCTTACATTGGGAGTCCCAGAGCTGAATGCAGTCCGCTAGGTGGGATATCACAAGAGCAGAATACAGGGAGAGAATTTCCTGACCACTCTTCTTGTGATGCAGCCCAGCATCACCAACATTGAAGGAGGTATTCCATTAATATTACCCAGCTTTCAAGGGCTCCTCTTCCCTCCAGGGCTTTATCCCATGATAATCTGCCAAGCAGATCCCTGAAGAAGCCGAAGTGCTCTCCTGAAGTCCAGAGTAATGAGCTTACTGCACGCCATCCTAGCTGCCCTAAGAGTCACTGCAGTCAAGGCTGCCATTGAGCTTCACATTCCAACCACCCCCTTCCTTTCAGTGAGAACAGGGTCCTGGTGATTTTGTGGTTGTTGCAGTTGTTTTTTGTTCAGTTAGTGATTTTATTTGGTTTGTGCTGCTTATTTTTTCCACCATCTGAATTCTTTGATTAAGCAGTAGGAGGATGATCTGTACCACATGGAATTAAAAAAAAAACCCCAAACCAGCCAAGCCCCCACCAGTACAACCTCCAATTATCATTGCCACACTCAGTAGGCCAGACCCACTGGAAACTTCTCGGAAGGAAAATCCTTGACCATAAAATATATGAGTCTTGAAGCTCCAGAAGATAATTTCTTACCTATTTTGCAAACAATGATTCTGTTATAAAAAAAAAATAATATGAGAAATTATTTTCAATATCCCCCTGTTTTGAATTCTTCTGTGTTTTGAATTTTATTTTGAATTCTACTGCTCTTGCTCACTCTTCTGGAACAGAAGGAGCCCTTACTAACTTATACACAACCATGAAACAAATGTCAGTTTATATATTTCCTCAATTTTGTTTTTTGTCCATCTGGCATCTATTCAGAAAAATTAGTCTAGGGTTGCTCATCAGGTAGCAGCATTGAGGCATCTCATATTTAAATTTCCAAGTTTAACATACTCACACTAGAGTATGTGAATAGACAGTCAATCTATCTAATTTACATTTAGACAATTGAACTGAATTAAATTCCTGCCATTGTCCAGTGAGATTTACCTGCTCATTTAAATACGTTGCTGAATCAGCCTTGATAACACAAGCTGATGGAGACAACTATTTACTGCTGTCTTAGGCAATTTTGCTTAACAGACATCTGATCAAAAAAGGAATAGGAGCACAATCCATAATTAACAGTGGAATTTGACAACAACAGTGTAGATGACACATCCTGTGATTTAAGCAGAGAGTCAAGACTAACAGCAGAACTAATTAACCTTTCAAAGCATGGATTGTGACAGTTCTACAAGAGGGACATCTCATGTTGCCATCACCACAGCAAATTTAAACCCCTTGACTTCTGAAATACCTTGCACCGATTTAGTTAATTGACCATCACCTTTTAATTGTTAATAGTTGTTTAATAAATCTGGTCCCTAAAAAGAGGTGTGTTGTCATGTAAAAATATCATTGATATATTTAATCATAGCCATATTTTTAAAGAAGTAATTAGTTACTGTTAACATGTTCCTAAAGTGAACACAATGTTGCTGTGCATGCCCACGGTCCCCCTCAGTAATTCTGTGTTTGATATACATATGTAACAGGTAAAATATTGCACAAATTCAATTTAAGTGTTTCTTATTCTTTTCAATATTTACTTTATCCTTTGTTTGTAGAAAACAATTTCATCCTTTTCCATTCCTTGTTTCCTAGGCTCAGTCAGAACATAATCATTTTAGTTCTTTACTATATGCCACTATATGCCACTGTGATAATCCTGGTTTGCACTTGTTTCATCTAGCATCATCTTTATTGAAACAAATATTAATATTAAAGTTGCAAATTATTTTCCAGTATCTTAGAAAGCCATATTAGTACTTTTCTAGAAAGATAAGCAATGTCTTTTCACTATATTTACTTTTTTTTCAGAGTTGCATTGTAGCATTTATTTATCACCATCCAGTCTACCAAAATACCCACGATCAGTTCCATTTACACATAAGTTACAATTAAAGTTTTCTAAACTTATGTAAGAATGCAAAAAATTGTGATTTGGAACTGTATTTTAAGTTATTTCTACCAATTCAATCCTCAGGGTCAGCCAATCCCATGACACCCTGAACAATTTTATTACAAAGAACATTCTTGTCCAGCTTAGCCCACTGTGGCCTCTCTCAACAGCTCATAGACAGCTCATTATTAACAGATCTCCTCATCAGCATATCTCTTTTTCCAGTTAAAGAATCAGCTCCACAAACCAGTGTACCTTTGCTCTATTCTTACACACTGCCAAAGGAAAGATGCAATGTACATATGCGAGAAAGAGTAAAAAGCCAGGCCACGGAAGGAATAGGAATCTTCAAAATTCTGCTAGGTTTTGAAGTGGTGATTTATTTTAGTGCAATATTTCATAAGGCTGATGTTACGGCTTTTTTACTGCATGCTGTGGGAGAAATGAAAATTAGTATGGAAGGACAAGAAAGCTATCATGGTTCATGTGCTTGCAGCTGGAGATCATTGTTTTCCTCATGAGGCTTAAGTAGTAAATCAGGATATTTGTCATAAAGAGTATCCCAACTACGGATGGTCTTTGCTGCTGCCATCACAAAACTTGGGCTCCATTCTCTTTGCAAATGTATAGCAGAAAACAAGATGCTATTATTGTTCAAACCTATAGGAAAGGGTTTGTGGTGACTAAATATAATGAAAGAATCACTTTCCTCTTAACAGGTCCTCTGCCACCTTACAAACTATGGGTGAAATGCTGACCCAGCTGAACCCCAATTGAAAATTTGTATTGACTGTAACTAGATTCCAGCTTGAGTTTGTGAGGATGCTTGGGGCCCCACATTGTAGCTGTGATTGTTATTAATTTTTTCATTCATGATCCCAAAATATATTTAAAGTAGGAAAAAAAAAGAGAATGTAGGATTGCACATGAACATCTGTGAAGCAACAGATGGCATTTTTAGTGAGGATTATTTAAATTTGGTTATACATTTTTAATACAAGTAATTAATATCTCAATGCCACTTGGTAACATTCTACTCTTTATGAAAGAAGCTTCTGCAGATGTGTCATAATTGTTTATTTCTGCAGAATTGCTTTGTTCCTTACAATATCTTGGCACCAGCTTCTAGAATTTCCTGGTAATGCTTTAAAGCCTCAGCCTGCTGGCACCAGAAACTAGGTAATAAAGACTTCCAGAGGCTTTATGGTTTGGTTTCTTTATAATGTCTAAAGAGAAGAGGAAGGTGAAATAGTATTTTACAGTAACAGGACAATAGATATAGAAGCACAACCCTTGTTATGACATGATGCTATTATAGACAGCAGAGGGTATGGGCTCTGCTTATGCCACCATACTCATTTAGAAGATGTAGCTCTGTTCTACTTTGCCTGGCTTCAGTAAAACCTTATGGGAGGACAAACAGGAAAGGCAATTGCCTGTATTCCATTCTGTGCCTTCTCTCCATTTCTGGACTGATTTAGAGAGAAATCCATACAAAGTAGGAATAATGGGCCTGTATTTCTGGCCACATGGCCACGTAAGAAGGAAAATCACCTTTACTTTTAAAGTCACAGTAACTACTTCCCTTAAAATTGTGTGAGTGATACTGCTCCATATTCGTAGGAAGGTGAAATGAAATGCTAACTTCACCAAAGCCTTAATTCAGTCACTTTCCTTTTAAAATAATGAGGGTTGCTTTTTTTGCTTTTCCAGGTAAAACACAGGTTATGGGTGAAATCAAGATTGCATTAAAGAAGGAAATGAAGACAGACGGAGAACAGCTGATAGTAGAAATCCTTCAGTGCAGAAATATCACATACAAATTTAAATCTCCAGATCATCTACCAGGTATCACACAGAAACCACCTTTACAATACTCTGAGAACACTAGGGAGGATGTATCTGAAGTCATTTAACATCACCACTAAAACAGGGAAAAATGTGCTTCTTAACCAGAATGACGTATTTTATAAGATTCTATTTGAAGTGCTATTTTTCTCCTATGAGAAATTTTAGTGAAAGTAAAAACTTTTTGTAGAAGCAAATTACACTCTCAGAAGTTAATCCTCTTTTTCATTTACTTTTGATTGTTTAAAATTAATCCTCTTTTAAGTTTAAATTAATCCTCTTTTAAGTTTAATAAAAAAATATAATTCCTTAGATTATTAAAGAACAATGATATGGATGGAAAAATTGTATTTTGGAGAAAAAGCTTTTTAAAATTTAAAAATGCATGTTAATAACAATATTTTCATATGTAAAAATGACATCAAGGTGTTTGTTCTGTTAATGTCATCACTGTAAACACAAAATAATTCCCTTGGAGTGAGTGGGGTGATTCCATTTCTACATCATGTGAATGAGAACAAAATATGCCTCTGTAAAATACCAGGCTCTGATTTGTCACACTTCCCTTCTGTTGAAATCATTAACAATGATTATTTAAGAGCTTCTGTATTTAACTCATTGAAATCTTCTTCCCCAGACCTGTATGTGAAGCTGTATGTTGTCAATATGACTACCCAAAAGAGAGTAATTAAGAAGAAAACTAGGGTATGCAGACATGACCGAGAGCCTTCATTCAATGAAACATTTAGATTTAGCTTGAGTCCTGCTGGGCATTCTCTTCAGGTAATTCTTCATTTTATTAAAACCTAATTTTGGATGTAGTCCATGTTGTGCTATGGGCATGTGAGACCAATATTCTACCTCAATTGTTTGCTGAAAATTACAAAGGAAATAACACAATTGCATAATAATGGAAATACTGGGCTGAAGGAGACTTTACAAGAAGGTTTAATCCATTGCCCCACACTGAGGAAGGGTATTTATAGACTGAAAGAGTCTGAAAGTTTTAAGCTTGATCTGTTCTTACAACCCCCTGAAGAAAAAAGTTACGGATGCCTTCCAAAAAATATTTTCTATGCATTTAGAATGTTTAGTGTACTACCTAAATTAAATACACTGTATTTTAAATTAATTTAAACTATCCTTATGTAACCTCAAAAAGCACAGAGGAAAACTGATCTTTCTTTTTATAAAAAAAGTTTGCACACTGGAATGTTGTTATCATACCTCTCCTCCCTGTTTTTCCAGGCTAGGTAAATGAAATTTCTTTCATGTATCCTGTCGCCTAAATAACTAATGGTTTTATCATTATCTCCAGTTCTTCAACTTCTTTAAAAGTTGTTGGTGACTAGGATTAGACACAGTAGTCATAATGTCAGATACTGCAAAACTACTGATTATGCCAATCAAAATATTCATGAAAGATATAATGAAACATATGTAAAGAAGATGACAGTATTTTCATCTGTGGCACACCAAATGATATGTGGAACTGATTTAGGGATAGTCTCTCTCCTGTGTTTTAGTTGCTTAGACAGATCTGATCATTTGGTCAGATTTACCTTTTTAGATGGTGAGGATTCACTTTACTTACTTTAATTTACTTTCATATGAGTAGATAACTAATATAAGCCAGATATTAAGGCTTCCTTTAGTCAGTGGATAGGTATGGACAATACCAGGTGTATATGCATGCTAAACTTAAAAGTAAGTGGGAGGAATTGTTGAGCATACCAGCATTCATTCAATGTACCTTGAAATCTGGAAGACTGAGGTAAACAAGCCAGCTACATTTCGATGACTAAAGTTAAACTGGATTATCTGAATGCTATGTTACGCTTATTAGTTGTATCATTAAAATTAAAGCCAAAATGGATGTCACTTACAAAACAAGGCCAACAGAAATAGATACTCTTTTCCCTGTGTTAAGGTGTCCTAACACCCTTATTGATTCAACAGACTTAATGAAAGAATATTTAAGTTGTTATATTACCCAGAAAAAATGCAGAGTAGTCAATAAAGTCTTGACAAAGCTGAAGAGCTAATATATCTGTAAGAAATGTGCTTCCAGTGGTGGTTTGATGAGGAAACTGTAAGGGGTGTGTAGACCAGTAAAGAAAAACTCACAGAGCCCTACAGAAAAACAAGCCATCAAGTTGCTAGTGAGGGAGGCGGTGAGGGAGGTAGCCATAGGAACAATCAGCCTGAGACTTGGCAACATTTCCTTAGAAACTCTGTGATATGTACTGGGGCTGCACACCAGGCTCAAGAGAACAAAGGCTGTAAAAGTAGAGAGGAACAAGTTTAAAACAAACAAAAGGTGTTTCTTCATGAAATCTGTAGTTTGAGGTGTAAAATTTATTGCCCTAAGATATTGTGGATAATAAATAATTTCATGGAAAAAGTAATTGGAGAAAACAATTGTACAAATTCATGAGGAAAATACCTCATAGTCTGTTAAATGCAAACATCCCACTTGTGAGTCAGGAAGTCAATGGTCCACATGTATTTTAAGAAAGTGACACTACATGGTTGCCTTGTTCTTATAATCTTCCTTATACACCACCCTATACTCTTTCGAAAGCAGAATATTTGCCTGGAGAGATCTTTAATCTGATCAATACACCTGTTTTTATGCACTCTTTGCACTTATTAGACAGTTTATTCCAGACAAAGCATGAAGTTTGTTGATTTGAATGCATAATTTGAAGGATGAGCATTAAGGGAAAAGAAATGGACATTGTCAAAAGAGATGTGGGAGAAAAACAAAACCAGAATGCATAGAACAAAAATGGAATTGGAAGATTAAGAGGGGAAATAAGATCAGAAAGAGGGAGTAAGATGAGATCAAACTTACTTAATAATCATAGAAAGTACATTGTAAAGAGAGATGAGAATGAACTGGAGGCAGGAATTAGGACAAGGGTCTGCACTCAAAAATTCAGCAGCAAGAGGTGTGAATATTAGTCATAAAAATGGGACACTGAGTTATTGAGAAAGAAAAAATATATAAAAAAAAAAAAGACAAGAAATAAAGAAATAAAGGAGAAGAGAAGAATTTCCAGAATTTTCTGGTCAAGAGTATTTGAAATAAGGAAAAGACATCCTGAGGATTAGAAACCGAGACTAGCTGATTCAGGATAACAAGTCTGAAATTTAAAGCGGAGCAGGGAAGAAACAAGACTGAGAGACAGATAAACTAGAGAGGACAGATACTAGGGATCCACCTGGGAGGAGTGGAGAGAAGGATAAAGGACTGAAGCAATGAAAAAATTTGTAAGGAATTTTTCCTCTCCCAATACTGTGGATGTGTCAGAATGAAAATGTTCCTCAGAAAACATTTCGACAGGTTTCATACAAGCACTTGCCTCAGCCCTTGGCAGTTTGCTTGCTCAATTCCCTGATTTCCCGGTTCCTTGGCAACCCACCTGGGACTCTTCTTGAAAACACTAAGATCCTGGCTCCTTTGTCTTGTTCCTTATCTGGCTCCTGGCTGACTGGCTAGCTGCAATTACAAATACATAATGTCCTTTCTGAGGGTAATCAGAAAAACCCAAAAGAAAAGAATGCTCATTTCTTTCACAGAAAGTCAGCAGCAGTGGAGGCAGGATGCTGGTTTACCCCAAGGCTTTCTGATGAGTGGAGTTCCCTAAACAGCTTAGTGCCTAAGGGTCTTTTGGTCCTCCCTCCTCAAACCTGTTGACTAATGGGCATGTAGGTGTTGAAGCTGTACAGGTACATACGTTACTTGCCGAGTGGTATCAAAATTGGGAACTGGGAAACTTATCCAGGAAAATTATTGCAAACTTCTTCTGTTTTTTAAAATTTCCATTGTAATGTAAAGTTTGCATTTCTTAGTTTGCTCCCCAGATTAGAATGGAGCTTTTTTAAAAAAAATTGATATTCTTGAATACTGGAAATTCAAGTTCTTCTGCAGTTCTGTTATGTGTCTACCGCCATATAGTCTTTCCCAGCATCTCATCCTTGAGTTCTGCAATTCCTTTGTTAGCCTAGATCTTTTGAAACCAAACAACAAAATGTCCTATTTTACTTTCCTGCTGACTCACACAGAAGGTGACAGCCTCCTAATGTTAGCAGTTACCTCACTTGCTCATTGCTGGAAGTCTGCTTAGTGACTGTTGTTATTACAAACCTCCTGCTAATCCTACCATGGAAATACAATCTTTCATGAGTTCTTTTTCTTTTTTAAGAACTTAGTAAGTTGATAGAAGAAAAACAACAAAAAACACGCAACATTGAGTTTGTTGATTCACTTAATAATTAAGAAAATCTAAAATTTACCTGCATGTGTATAACTCACCCCCTGAATCATATATATTATTAAACATTTTCTCTCAGAAATATGTAAAATGAACCTATAGAATCCGTCAGAGGAATCTATTGCTTGTATAGCATGAAGCTCAGCTGGAAAACCTCTGCATATATGATATATATTGGAGAATCTTGAGCACCCAAGCCTGCATAGCTCATGCGAGTGCCTGGGCTGTTCCCAGCACTTCCCACTCTCCACAGCTGAGAGAGCAAAACCTGTCAGACCAGTAGCTCTCAGCAGAGACATAGCAAGAATGAGATTTCAGACCAAGTCTATATTTTAGGTTCGACTACTGCTTGCAGAAACTAGAACCTTGGACTTTCTCACATGCTAGTCTGCTTGGAGCTACAGCCTATATGTAGAGTACCCTCTGACCTCCACATACTTAAAAGAGCTGGTACTTTGCCTTCATGAAGCTTTACCCTGTATCTTAAAACTTGAGTTTGCATTTGTCTTTGGTAACCAGCAGGTGAACAAATTGCTTACTGAAGTTCATCACCTTCTAGTTGCTACATCCCATGATAATAAAACAGAAGAGGGGAAGGTTCAATTTTCAAGAGGCTTGCTTTCTGTTGGGAGGTGACTATATATAAAGGGTTATGTTTCTTTTCTGCGGGTACAGAGCTTGACATTTCTGAATCTTTCATGTTTGCTAAGAAATGCGGTATGTTAATATGCACATTGATAATTATTTATTGTTGTTATTATTTTCCCAGATTCTGCTTGTCTCCAATGGAGGGAAATTTATGAAAAAGACACTGATTGGGGAAGCTTATATCTGGCTTGACAAAGTGGATCTAAGGAAAAGAATAGTAAACTGGCACAAACTGTTGGTCAGCTCCACACAAACACACTGAGCAGAGATGTTTGCTTAGGGCACAAAATCTTCAGATCCTGCTATAAGCAGCATCACTCCAAGACTATAGTTTGATATCATTGTGTTTAGCTAGTCTTTCAGAATACAAAATAGAAAAGAGCAGTCTCTGGGCTACATAGCACACTTAAATGAGGGCTAGTACATTTGTTTTGCTGCAAAAGACAGCAAAAGTAAAAGAAAACCTGGGCCCAGAAGTTAAAGTGCGGCTGTTTGAACTGAAGACTGACATGAGGGCTCAGTGATGTTGGACTCTTTGTGAAGAGAGTAACTGTGAAGGAAATAATGAAGGCTGGAAGGCAGGTGTTAATGCAGAGTTCAGCTGCAGCTGGAGGTAGTGTGATTGGAAGAGCAGTCTGGTTTTCTGCGCAACCAGAAGGAGATCACTTTATGCAAAAGCACCTACGGTGACTGACTTTCCAGATCTCACTTATCAGAAGTGCAAAACTTGCTCCTCTGCACCTTAAGATCTCTGATAATTCTCTGTAGTGAGACTATGCCACTTGACACAAACTGCAAGGTGTGATAATGTTATTTTTTCCTTCTTTATTTTTCCTTCAAAAACTATGCTGTGAAGAATCAGATCTGATTGTTTCATTTGTTTTTGTGTGTTAACAATGAATTTAAACCACTGTCCTGAAAAGTAAGTGATAAGAACATATAAATGGTCTATAATCTGGAATGTGGTTTGAAATAAAAAGGACAGGATGCAAACTGCACTATAAGAGGAAGAAAAAAATGCTGTTTTGATGCCAGTGACACCATACTTCACCCTTCGCTTTGAATTGGCAGTTTTAAAAAAGTTTGGAATTGAAGAGACTTAGGCACTAGGACTAATACCATTATTCCAACTAGTCCTTCCACTTTCAGAACCAGTCTTTACTGAAACTGTGCAGAGATGATGAATTCTAGGCTATTTTGTGGGTACTTTGGAGCAGTGAACCCACTATGCTAACATCAACCCACTCGGTGCAGGGCTCTGTATCACATCAGTGACACACCTGAAATCTAAAGGGAAGGGATAGCAGGGCAGTTACTGCCTGGATACTGTTGCATTAGAACAAATTAAGAACATCCTTTTGCTATCTCAGGTGAATGTCTTAGTGTAATCCACTCAACAGTGTGGCTTCTCAGTTAGGAAAGAAGTAAATAGGAAGATAACTTGCAACTGTGTCAGCACTTCCATGCTCAGAGTCCCACTTTCAGGGGCTTGAAGCCACGTAGTTAGACCATTTGGGAAGAAACTACTGCCTGGGATGGCTTAGGCTGGTTATGTTTTCCATTGTACCATTTTTGAAGATGGGAGAGTTTTTTCCTCCCATTCCTAAAAGTATGGCAGTTTCTTTAAAAGACAAGAATCAATATGGTACTAAAATCCCATGTTGCTCAGAAGTCATTTAATATTTCACAGCTTCATTAAAAAGTAGTTTCCCTGAAAATATTACTTCATGACCTTTGCATATTTAAAAAGAAAATGACCAAAATTCTGTGCTCCAGACATTTCTGTTTCTGGCCCAATAAGGACTTTTCACAAATTACTTAATGTACATCATCTTATATTTTCTCAATATATGTAGTACACTTCCACGGGTTGTGCAAGACCAACTTCTGGAAAATAATACATGCTTTTAAAAGAAGGAAAAAAAAAAAAAGGATCAGTTTACTCAGAAGCTGGACTGACCATGAGAAAGTTACACCATTTAATCTGGTGACACTTCCCACATACAGTTTTTGATTTATCTTTGTCAACTTAAAATAATACTGTGGAAAAGGAATAGAAGAAACACACAGAAGATATTAATGCTACACATACCAAGAAAACTCCTGTTAAGTTATTGATAACCTGCTGGTAGCCTGCTTACCTTGCAAGCAGAACAATCACATGAAAATCTTATTAGCTGTCCTAAAAACACAACATCACTGACAGTGGAAGTAGGATGTGTGTGCTTCAATGTTGAATTCTATGCTTTCACCAGTATATGTATGCCCTACCTCTCATACATTTTGAAAACAGTCTTCTGGAGTTATTGTAAACATTCTATATGTTTTGATGTTGTGTATGTTTTTTATAAGAAGGTAAATACTTCAAAGAAAAAATCCCCAATCGAACCAAAAAGTCCTATGTGGGTATATTCGACATGTGTTGCTCTTTTGGTAGGTTATTTTGCATTCCTGATGACTATAGTGTGTTCTTTTCTTGAAAAAAAATATCAAACTCCCCTTCCAACTTCTAGTTTCAATTACTGTGTGAAGTACAAGCTGCGAGGTGGGCAATTTTGTGCAAACTGCTGGTAATTCTGTTCTCTCTAAGATTTTTTATAAAGACAGAGATTCATGCTGGCAGTTGCTATGGAGATTTCCAGCAGGAGCAAGCACTGTCTGGCTGCCTTTCTGGGATACCTGTAATCATCACTCTTAATTGAGAAATTGGATGGGCATGCTTTGCTCTCACACACATACCAATGTGGCTATGTTTTTCTACCATAGTTGTGTTGAGTGGTATAGCTGTGGCTCTACGGAACAGCAACCTTTGTGGGTTAATCAGCTGTCAGCAACTGGTTTAACTCAGGCATCTTTGATTCTCTGATCAACACACAAAATGTTTCTGCATGTTGAAATGGCAGTTTTAGACTCCTCTCATGAAACGCAAAGAGTAGTTTGTCAGGAATGCAGCACTGTGTTGGCCAGCTGCAGGAAGGTTGGGACTCCTTTGGTGTCACCCTGGATGAGCTAGAGACAGACCTGGGCCCACTCTCCCTCTTTTCCAATGCAGCATCTTTCAGAGGTCAGAGGATGCTTCCAAAGTGTGCCAAGTTCCTTTTTTGACCAAATTTCTAGGTTGTACTGGAATCACTCTATGCAACACAGGTTCGTGTTTGTTTGAATGCATTTTTTTTCCCCCTTTTTTTTTTTCCCCTTGTTTTATGAGTGGTCAGGAAAAACTCCCTTGTGACGTTTTGTGAAGAATAATCTAACAAGGACTATTAGTATTTTTTTGCTTTTTTTGTATAGATCTCAGTACATTTTTTTTTCATTTTTTTTCTCATTAAGTTTTGTTTCTTTTATCTGGCCAAAAGTGCTTAGATGTGGCAACAGCTTTTATAATTTCTGAGTGATTGATTAGTGATGAGTTCACGTATTTCTATGTTTGCTTTGAAGACACGTTGCAGGGAGGCAACAGCAGAGGCATTTTAACTTTTTTTATTCATCAATCTGCTGAGTCAACAGAGATTGAAGCTGCTTCCTTGTTCAAGGCCTTGTATAGTGGAAACAAGCTGAAAAATGAGCAAAAGCACAGTGTGTGTGTTTACAAATGACAGGGATTTCTAATGTTATCATTATTATTATTATTATACATTCAGTGAGCAGCAAACAGCCACTTTTTTTTTTCTTTTCAGGTTAAAACTAGACATGAGAGTTTCTATGATGAATGTTGAACTAGCTATTTATCATTACACTTTAAAGGGATAGTATCCAGGGGCAATGAGTGCTGCTCCTTTATTACCCATGTTTTTTACATTACATGGATCCTGTGTGGAAGAAACAAAAACCCAATCCAAACCAGTTGAAGTCAATAACAACTGATCTGTTGAATTAAACTCGCTTTAAATCAAAAACTGGGAAGTATTTATTTTTCTGGATGCTGGGTGTTTGCATGTTTTGGTTGTGGTAGCTGGTAACCAGCTGATATTGATTTGTACTTTGAGGATGATGATGAGGAAAAAGAAAACATCTATTATATTGTAAGCTAGTGTGTGCCCAATAGAGATTACTTAATTGGGAATTAGTTTCATGGAAATATCAGAAAGATGTTAATAGTATTTTTTTAAATTATTATTTGAATCATAACTGACACTATTTTAAGTACTTTATTTTCATTGCTACAATGTTGAATGTCCCAGATTTCATTATTTGAGTATATATCTAGATATGTACATACATATGTGAATAAGACAGAAAATTTGCCTTTGTGTGAGTGTGACTTATAAAGGTAATGAAACAGAGAGGAAATTTAGTGTAAGTATCCACCTACATTATATTTAACCACTAGTCCTAAATGCCTTGTGAATTTTCAGTACACATGGCATGTAGGATCAGTTACTCTTTATAAATACATGTTGCCTTCAGAAGGAAAATAGAAAGAATAACCGGATACTCTCTCTTTAAATCATAAAAAGCATTTTAATGTTTTCTATATGTTTGGTTTTATTATTTTCAAAAGATTAATAAGCAAATATATCAATGAGCTCAAAAATTATAATATATATAGATATCCATAATGCAAAATAGATGATTTGAGAGAAAGCTGTTTTCTTAATTTGTTACCCTGTAAATAAGTATACATTTTTGTAAAACAAACTGAGTTTAACTCATTAATTCCATCTGACATCCAAGCATGTGAATGTGTCCTTATTTGGTTGTATCTTATAGATGTTCAGTGGCGTGCTCAGGTGCTCAACAATGGCTGACTAGCGTGTGTGCTGTCATGCTACGGACAACGTGTACAGCATACCCAATGTTTAAAAAAAATCCCAAAACACACAAAAAAAACCACAAAAACAAACAAACAAACAAACAAAAAAAAAGATTAGTCCTTGGAGAAATGTAATGTTTCCACAGTGATTGTTGCATGCATAGGTGGTGGTTTGTTGATATTCATTTTGGTTTGAATTTCCTTTAATTTTCATTTTTTTTCCAGATTCATCAGCAAAAAAAAAAAAAAAAACACAAAAAAAACCAACCAAAAAAAAAAAAAACAGACCTGTTCGAAAAGTTGTAAAAACTTGAAACAAAAGCAGTATGAAAATTGTATAAAAATGCTTGTAAATCTGTTTCAGTTTTCACTTTATGTATAAATCCATGTCATGGTTTTGTGATTGTATACAGGATGTATCTTGAGAACTTATGCAAATTGTGCTCTATAAAGGCTGTTATTCCAGTCTGACAAATAAATATTTAAAATATCTGGTTTGGTTTCTTTTCCCTAATTAATACAAAAATATATTTTGCTGTTTCGGATTTCCCATGTGTTGACCATAGTGGTTTTATTGTAATGCTGTACACACTGCCCATATTCATCTGTTCTGTTTCATCATTAGCACACCTCCCTGGGTATTACTAGTGTCCCACGTTTCATTTTGAAGAAATGGTTAGTTCACCAAAAATTTTCTTCAAACAAATCAGAACCAGGATCCACATGCAGCTTGTTGATGTCTTCACACAGATTCATCTCTGGTGTCCTATATAGACAACAAATAAAGGTGAATACATCAGCACAGTTTAGAAACATACAGGGTTCTGTCTCCTCACTGCAAGCAAAAGACAAAAATGTAGCCTAACTATGTATCCTTTTAAGTTCCAGAGGAAGGCAGAATAAGAAAGCATCTGATAAATTATAAAAGGGTTTTCTGGCTCTTTTCTCCAGTAGAAAGATGGAATGATTTTCAGGAACAATGTCTTTTAGAACCATAAACAAGAAATAAGTTTCTTTCAGCAATCATTTTTTATATTACTCAATTGTACTTGACTTGCTGAATGTCTATGAGATTTTCACATAGAACCTGAATCTCTGAGTCATGTCTAGACCTATATTTTCTATATTTGACTAGTTTCCTGCCTTGATACAAATAATAAAACATTTATACACCTGGGTCAAAGCAATCCCAGGCACAGCCACAGGTTGGGCAGAGAAGAGATTCAGAGCAGCCCTGTGGAGAAGGACTTGGGGGTGTTGGTCAATAAGAAAATGAACATGAACTGCAGTGTGTGCTTGCAGCCCAGAAAGCCAACTGAATCCTGGGCTGCATCAAAAGGAGCGTGACCAGCAGGTCAAAGAAGGAGGTGATCCTGTCCCTCTACTCTGCTCTTGTGAGACCTCACTTGGAGTATTGTGTGCAGTTCTAGTGTCCTCAACATGAAAAGGACATGGGGGGACAGGGAACTGAAGCACCTCCTGTATGAAGACAGGCTGAGAAAGTTGGGGCTGTTCAGCCTGGAGAAGGGAAGGCTGCGTGGAGACCTCATAGCGGGGCCTATAGGGATGCTGGGGAAAGACTCTTCATTAGGGACTATACTGATAGGACAAGGGGTAATGGGTTAAAACTTAAACAGGGGAAGTTTAGATTGGATATAAGGAAGAAATCCTTTCCTGTGAGGGTGGTGAGGCACTGGAATGGGTTGCCCAGGGAAGTTGTGAATGCTCCATCCCTGGTGGTGCTCAAGGCCAGATTGGACAGAGCCTCGGGTGACATGGCTTAGTGTGAGGTGTCCCTGCCCATGCCAGAGGGGTTGGAACTAGATAATCTTAAGGTCCTTTCCAACCCTAACTATTTTATGATTCTATGATTCTATACTGCCCAGTAAGATAAATCGATGTTTGAGTCTGTCACCTGGAACCCATACACTGGATTCTTTTTTCTACCAGTTGGTGCCCTTTTCTCAAAATCTAAGGTAGTGAGAAACAGGCAACATCTTTGAGGATGCCTCAAGAAAAGGAGGTGCCCTTTTTTCACATTAGCCTACTTGATACAACAGTGACCAATGCTAGTTTCTATTACTGTCCATCAGGAGCCAAAACCTAGTCTTCCCAGTACCTGCCTTAGTCACAAAGACATCCTTTGGGTACCTCTCTGATGAGACAGTCATGGCTATAATCAACACTTTGCCACACACTCAGCCCCACTTCTCAGTATCCTCTGTTATTTTGCTGAGGCAGTTCCTCATCATCCTGCCCAGCGTGCTGGCCCTATAGATACAGTTAGAAAGCATTTCCGAAGGGTTAAAGCTTCTTGGGACAGAAAGCTGACTAGAAGTAGCTGCCAAGGAAGCTGTAGGTCAATCTGAATCTAGCTCCAGTTTACGGAAGGAAAATTCCAGTGTTCCTTCACACACACCAGAAAGAATAATTAAATGATATGTTTCTTTTTAAATAATGAACAGTGTATAACAACAATGTGTGTTTACTCAGTTAAAGCCCTTAGCAAAGTGCAGACTATGCATTAAATATTTCCTCACAGTGCTGCTGTGGGGTTTAACCCAGCAGCTGTGCATAGTACCTTATGCAAAACTGGCAGTGGGGTGGTTCACAGAATATTTTTAAATATTAAATTTAAAGCTCATGGAGAGAGAAATCACTGAAAAATATGCACAGATTTAGCTTCACATTCTGTCTCTAAGGGCAGCTCCCTCAGCTCTCAGATACTGAAATGAAACATCAAATAGTCACTGAATTCACAGTGTGATATGTGAATTCACATAGGCTCATGCTCCCGTACCGCGGCAGTGGAGAGGCTGTGCTGCCCCCTTGCAGCATCGTACAGCAATGAAGCTGCATTTCATCCACACTGATTTCATGCTGCTAAAATTGCCTGAACAGCTATTTACTGCATTTTTTTAACTACCTTTTTTTTTCTGTTAAATAAAAGTAAGTCTGAATTACTCCTATCTATTCCAATGAAGCTGCATATCATAGAGTCATAGAGTCATAGAAGAGTTAGGGTTAGAAAGGACCTTAAGATCATTTGGTTCCAAACCCCCCTGCCAGGGGCAGGGACACCTCACACTAAACCATATCACCCAAGTCTCTGCCCATCCTGGCCTTGAACACTGCCAGGGATGGAGCATTCACAACATCCCTGGGCAACCTATTCCAGTGCCTCACCACCCTTACAGGAAAGAACTTCTTCCTTACATCCAGCTTAAACTTCCCCTGCTTAAGTTTTAACCTGTTACCCCTCGTTCTATCACTACAGTCCTCCCCAGCATCCCTATAGGCCCCTTCAGATACTGGAAGGCTGCTATGAGGTCTCCATGCAGCCTTCCCTTCTCCAGGCTGAACAGCCCCAACTTTCTCAGCCTGACTTCATACAGGAGGTGCTCCAGTCCCTTGATCATCCTCATGGCCCTCCTCCGAACTTGTTCCAACAGTTCCATGTCCTTTTTATGTTGAGGACACCAGAACTGCACACAATACTCCAAGTGAGGTCTCACGAGAGCAGAGTAGAGGGGCAGGATCACCTCCTTCGACCTGCTGGTCACGCTCCTTTTGATGCAGCACAGGATATGGTTGGCTTTCTGGGCTGCAAGCACACACTGAAGCCGGCTCATGTTCATTTTCTCATCGACCAGCACCCTCAAGTCCTTCTCCGCAGGGCTGCTCTGAATCTCTTCTCTGAACAACTGTAGCTATGCCTGGGATTGCCCTGACACAGGTGTAGGACCTTGCACTTGGCATGGTTAAACTCCATAAGGTTGGCATCTGTCCACCTTATATCAGGGACTTCTCTATCATGCCTCTCTATTTTGTCCTCTTTTCAATGGACTCTCCCTCCAGGACTTTGTTCTCAGTTTCTCTTCTATCAGTTTTGCAGATTTGTCGACTCAACATTCTCTAGTTTTGCTTATATTAGTAAGTAAAGCATCTCTGAACATAAGAACTTCTACATTTAAATTGTTAAAACTTTCCCCAGGAACATGGATCTGCAGGCATAATGTCCTGACCATGAATTCCTATGTTCTCTGGGACATCACAAGGGCTTTCTTCCCAGGGAGCACTAAGCCTTTGAGTTCTCATGAGACCCCTCTTTGAGAACTGTGTTCAGCTTTTGGGCCCTCCGTACAGGAAAGACATGGACCTGTTAAAGTGAGTTCAGAGGAAGTCCAAAAAGATCAGACGTCTGGAGCACCTCCTCTAAGATGACAGTCTGAAAGTGTCTCCTTGTTCAGTCTGGAGAAGAGGAGGCTCCAGGGAGGACTTATAACATGCTTCCAGTACTTAAAAGTACTGCGGCTTACAAGAATGCTGGAAAGGGACTTTTTACAGGTCCATGAAGTAACAGAACAAAGAGGAGTGGCTTTAAACTGAAAAAGGTAGATTTAGATCAAATATTATGAAAAAGTTCTTTACTATGATGGTGGTGGGAGTCTGGAACAAGTTGCCCAGAGAAGCTGCGTATGCTCCATCCCTGAAGGTGGTCGGGGCCAGGTTGGATGGGGCTAGTGGAAGGTGTCCCTGCCCATGGCTAGGGGCTTGGGACGAGATGAACTTCAAGGTCCTTTCCAACCCAAGCCATTCTATGGTTCTATGATTTAATTGTCTTGGGTAGAGCTGTCTACAGATGCCTTTCAGGAGGATACAAAGAATTGGGCTCTTGGAGGTGTGCAATGTGTCAAGAAATACAAGTTACAACATAATAAACTCTGCTTATATATTAAAAAAAAAAATCTCAGTAGGCATAATAAGTGGGAAAAAAAAAACAACAGACTGTGAAATACCCATCCTTGGAAGTATTTGAAACATCTGGATAAGTGCCTAAGTAACTTGATACATGTAGTCTTGTTTTGAGCAGGGGTGGGGAATTTGACTAGATGACCTGCCATTGTGTCTTCCAAGCTAAACCACTGTCTTGGACTCCAGAGTTAATGTAGTAGCAAGAAATTGCATCCTTGTATTATCACTTTGTTTTTTAAATACTCAAAGAGAAGGACAGTGCCTTTGAGTTCAAAGATGTCAGTCACCAATATACATTATATTTTAGTTAGATTAATCATAAGGGTCTATTTGTGCTTTTCGCTTGAAGTGTTTCTGCACAAAAAAGAAGTGAACAGAATCCCTTGTTTGGCAGCAGTGCAATATCACTCTTGAGTGAAATTCATTGCTGGCCGATATAAATCTTTCACACCAAAGAGCTGCAAAGCCTGTTTGCTCTATTACCTCTCCCAAGTGCAAAACACAAGCCTAGCCCCATTTTAAAGTTGCTAATCTACCAATTATCTTTCTCCTTTCTGCGATGCAGGAGTTTAGTGGGGAAACAGAGAAATACAATTGCTGCACAGTTCTGCATTTCCCCTGCTTCAGGACCCTATGCACCAAAAAGAAACAGCCAGTGGGACAATCAGCTGTAAGTAAACCACGACAGCACCAAAAAGAAACAGCCAGTGGGACAATCAGCTGTAAGTGGGTTGCAA